AGAACACATTCTGAGAAACAAAAGCTCTGCTGTTATTAAATCATAGATGCTGGGGGTGAGTTTGGGGTGGAAGGGTCTGGCACTCATGCCACCTACTACAGGCAGGAGCTCAATTATACAGTTACATTCACTGCTCAGTCAAGAGACAGTGAGCTGGAGAGAGCAGTGCCATTATAACCTTTGGTTGCCTGGGGGAGCCTGGAGAGCTGAGTTTTTCCTAAAGTGGTAAGTTCTCCTTTGGAAAGTCACCATTCCCTATCCTACAATCTTTTCTCACTAGAAACAACTGCATTTGCTCATTCCAGCTTTCACATTTTAATTCGGTCCTGAAGCTAAGCAGTGGTGGTAGACAAATGACTTGGGAATCAGATACCCTCATTTAATCCTGGAACAAGCTGTCTGAGTGACTTCTACCCCCATGAGGCCCAAAGAAAAACATAATGAAATGAAACCACTTGCTGCTATGAAACAAATGTGGGAATATTTATGCAGTTGTTTTTATTTATTCAACTATAAAGACTGATTGCAGCAAATTTTGATGAGTAATGCCTTCAATTAACACTCATTATATTGCTATAAATTTGGTTCAGGATCAGAACAGGATTCAGGAAAGGGGGAGAGAACAAAAAAAGTCTCCAAACATTAAAACAGAAAAACACTTAAAAAAAAAAAAACTTTAATTAAATGTTACTTTCCCATAGACTTGCCTAAACTGTTTGCAATCTAAGGTAATAGGAAGCAAAGGATTGGGCATTTTGAAGAAACTGCAGGTTAAGCTCTAGTGCCAAGCAGAAGACTGACTACTGATTTGAGTGTCAAATCTCAGGCACTTTCTGGAATAGAGGCAGGTTTTCAGATGTTTCCTAGCGTTCTTTCCTTTTCACTAATTAAATTTTCCCTTCTCTGGCAAATCCAGTGCAGTATACAATCCCCTCATTGCCTCTCCTGGTCAAACAGTTGTTTGAATGGAACCTGGCAGGCACCTGTGGCTTCTGCTTAGATTGGAAAGGTGACTAGCTCTGATTCACCTCCTCCTGAGACAGCCTGGACGGGGGGTCAACTGGAAGGCTGAAACCTGACAACAGCTGCCTCTGATTCCTGGTGGAAATGACCAACCAGATTCAATCCATACCACTGGGAAAGATCAAGGAAAAGAGAATAACTTTCCCTCCAAAAATGGTAAAGAGGAAATAAGGAGATAAGAAACCAAAAATATTTAGAATGGCACAAAAAGTGATATGCATAAACTTCTTTTTGTTATTAAATCTAACTATAAGTTTCCTAAAGTCCAGTTATCAAGTTGAATTGTGTGTGATAGAGGAGAGAGGCCAACTGGAATTTCTCTCTTAAGAGTTCACGGCTTCCGTCTGAGAGGTCCTGGGTTTGCGCTGGGGGAGTCCCTTTTGGAATGAAGGTATGGGTGGGCTAGGCTCCATGCTGATTCCAGTTTCATTGGTCCCTGCAGAGCGAGTCTGGCCTCTTTCACTGGTATTTCCTGGTGCCTGAGATGGAGCATTCTGATACCTGGAACCAGATGAATACCACGAGCTGTTTCTGTAACGACCCATACTGTCATGCCGCCCTTGGTTCACGGGGTCACTGGACTTTAGGCCTTGTGGCCTGTAACCTTGTCCTCCTCGCCCTTGGTTCACAGGGTCACTGGACTTTTGGCCCTGTGGCCTGTAACCTTGTCCTCCTTGTCTGTTCCCTGGCAATACCTAAAGATAAAAGAATACAATGTTCAAGGTGCTCTAGCATTATGGTACCCCATTTGTTCACTTTACAGGAGTATTCTGAAAGCAAAATTGTGGCATTACATGCTTGGGACTCAGTTATCTCTCAAGACTCAAAGAATTCTGTCACCCAATCCAAGCCAGCCACTACTTGAGAACTAATGCATCTTTCCTTGCTATTCATGCCCAGGCTCTTCACTGGAGAATCTACTTTTCTTTAGCTGGACACAAGAAGAAAGATAAGGAAGAAAGAATATTCTCTGGGTTGTTATAAGCCCTCAATTGGACAAGTATATTAACTCTGCAGATAAAAGGCATTTGGTAAATATAATAAACATTTGGGATAATAAGGTAAACATCACTGTGGTCTGCTTTGCTGTATGTCATGAACTACAGATTGAACCATGCTGCTGTGGCATTTAGTAAATCTTTCACATTATAATCCGGAAAGCTTATGGCATGGGATTTTATTTTTGTTCTCCAATTCCAACGTCATATGAGTTCTGAAGAATTACTGACAGTACTGCCTTGGATTGCTCTTGTGTTTATTATTCAAACAGGAGAAGAACCTATGGTTTACTCTTCAACTTACTAGTGTTTTCCCCCCATTCCCTACCAGGTCACCCTTTCTTTCTCTGTACATTCCACATTGTGCTTCTAGGGAGTTGCTGCTTTCAGATGCACACTGGTGGAACTGCCACTTGTGGTGCCTGTCTACCTTGAGATGGGTGCACGACTCCCAGTGTGACTAATTACCAGGCAATACTATCTACAACAGCAGGGATCACAGCCAACACAAGAAAGTCAGCAGTTCTTGGCAACAGGAAATCTAAACTGGCTGACAGTTTGGAACATACGTATCTAATGCTTTCTCAGGAACTAACTTGGACTGGAGAGATTCAAAACAGGCATGGAATGGGAATAAAGAGAAGAAGGTAATATACTGAGCTATCAGCATTTAAGCTTTGACAATCTGGAGGGTTTTCTTCCTAATGCGCTCAGTGTAGAAGCTAGGTTACCTCCCGATGTGGCTGGTAGGGCCGGCCGCTGGAGTTTGCTATGGCTGCAGGAGTCTCTCCTGGTGCAAAGATTTTCTTGTTAGCATTTGTAAGGCTGGGAGTAGAGGCACAGGTGGAAGAGGAAGCAGCAGAGGCATCACTTGGGCTACTCAGGGACACAGATGTAACTGAGCTACATCGGGATCTGGCTGAATAGCTGTTCTTTGGATGAGACACTGAGACAGGAATATGAGGAATATATGATCATATGATGAAACAGTACAATGGGTAAGGTTTCTGCTTTCTCAATTTCACAACGAGCAATTTAAGATAAAGAGCTGTCTATTCAAGTAAAGAAAAACCTAAAAACTGGTAACAGGAAGAAAAATCTCCTTTCTGCCCTCTTCCTCCATCCAAAGCCCCACTGCTCTGTAAAGGAATTCTTAGACAAGAGAACAGTTTAAGATCAAAGTTACCCATCCCCCACCAGTAATGGCTTCTTGGGATTGGATTTGGTACTACCTAACCTCTTGGCTATGGTTCTAGCAGCTGACTAAGCCTGGGAACAATAGTATAGGCCATATGTTCAGTTTCCTATGCAAGAAACGTTCTTTTTTTTTTTGTATTTTTTATTGCATTTTAGGTTTTGGGGTACATGAGCAGAACATGCAAGACAGCTGCGTAGGTACACACATGGCAGTGTGCTTTGCTTCCTTTCTCCCCTTCACCCACATTTGGCATCTCTCCCCAGGCTATCCCTCCCCACCTCCCCCTCCCACTGGCCCTCCTTTTTTCCCCCTAAAGTACAGCCTTTACAAAGAAAAAAAGGAAGATAAATCAAATCTTTACTAAATCCTTTTTAAAGAATTTTGAATAATACAAGGTATAAATAATCAAGATCAGTTAACTATGAATAGAACTAGTCTTTACAACAAACATGTATATTGCCAAATTTCTTTCTGCAAAATTAATCCCAAATTCAAAGTACTTATCTAACTGAAAAAATATTAATATTTTCAGTTCAAATAGTGTTAGAATTCAATGGTTTAAAACTACTCTTCTAGATTTTTTTCTTGGCTTTAAGCCTGGACCAATGATGAGTTCATAATTGTTCCCATAGGTTAAATATTTCACTTTTATACTAGAGAGAGAGAACAGAGAAGCTGAGTTCAGGGTTTGACAAACAAATCACTAGAAACTCACCTCACAGGCACTCCTCTAAGTTTTAGTGTGATTATTTAAGGATCGATTATGTGCCAAGCAAGACAAGTATTATTTTCTTCTATCTATCTATCTATCAATCTATCTATCTATCTATCTATCCATCCATCCATCCAAGAGAGAGTCTTGCTCTGTCGCCTAGGTTGGAGTGCAATGGCACGCTCTCGGCTCACCACAACTTCCGCCTCCGGGTTCAACTGACTCTTGTCTCAGCCTCCTGAGTAGCTGTGATTACTGGTGCACAGCACCAAGCACAGCTAATTTTTTTATTTTCAGTAGAGACTGGGTTTCACCATGTTGGTCAGGCTGGTCTCAAATCCCTGACCTCATGACCCGCTTACCTCAGCCTTCCAAAGTGCTGGGATTACAGGCATGAGCCACTGTGCCTGGCTTATTTATTTTTTTAGAGACACAGTCTTGCTCTGTTGTCCAGGCTGGAGTACATTGGCAATCATAGCTCACTGTAACCCGAAACTCCTGGCTCAAGCTATCTTCCCCCTACCACCCACCCCACCTCCTGAGTAGCTAGGACTACAAGCATGTGCCACCACACCTGGCTAATTTTTTCTATTTTAATTTTTTGAAGAGATGGAACCTCACTGTTGCCCAGGCTGGTCTTGAACTCCTGGGCTCAAGTGATCCTCTGGCCTCAGCCTTCCCAGTTGTTGGGATTACAGGTGTGAGCCATGGCACCTGGCCTGTTATCTCCACTTTGGAGAGGAGTAAAATGAGGTTCTAAGAGGTTACTACAGAGGCAGGGATTCAAACTTGGTCTGACTGTAGGGCCCCATGCTCTTTCCACCACATATCATGCACCTCTCAATTCAGCATGAAAAAACAGTCTTTCACACTTAGGGAGATGGCAAATACTTGTCCTCAGAGTTCAAAGTATCTGCATCCATGAATTTCATAAGCATTCCAGAATTACTTTTCACAAAAACAAGCAAACAAGAGGCACTAATGAAGAATCAGTGGTAAAGACAATTAGCATGCCAACCTTTAATTAATAATCACCACCTGGAGTGCCCAGAACCTCTCACCATCTCACCTTGTCCAAATGAATCAATGCTCTTCTTTAGGGTCTCTACATCACAGGTGAACCGGGCCACTCGCCCCAGATCCTCGTCATATTTACGTTCACTAACAAAGTGCTGGAAAAGGGCAAAGAATGGCCTCCAGGTTAGACAAACATCATCCAGGGAATCTACAACTTACTACACAGATAAAACAATCATTTTCAACTATCTTCTTTTTACTGCTTCAAAGTTTATTAAATGGCCATCACATGACCAATGCTGGGTGATCCAATAAATTCATTCATTTTCTCAAGAGCCCAAAGGTAAGTTTGTAAGTTTATGAAATGCTACATGATGGCCAAAGCCCATTAGGTAAAATCAGGAGGAACTGTAGAGAAAGAAAAAAGGAGGAAGAATTTATAGCAAAGGGCCATCTTTCTTTCTTTCTTTCTTTTTGAAACCGAATCTTGCTCTGTCACCAGGAGTGAAGTGGTGCCACTGCCGCTCACTGCAACTTCCGCCTCCTGGGTTCAAGCAATTCTCCTGCCCCAGACTTCCAAGTGGCTGGAACTATAGACACATACCACCATGCCTAGCTAGCTAATTTTTTGTATTTTTAGCAGAGATGGGGTTTCACCATGTTAGCAAGGATGGTCTCGATCTTCTGACCTCATGATCTGCCTGCCTTGGCCTCCCAAAGTGCTGGGATTAGTGAGCCACCGTGTCTGGCCTGAGGGCCATCTTTCTACTGTTGGCTATTCTCCACATCTTTCCATTTTATATAGAAAGAGAAGCAGCAAAATGTTTACAAGGTACTACAATGATACCGTTTAGATAGACTATTTGGTGTTAATAGGAACTTCCTTAGGAAACCCACTTCATCTCTTTATAATAAAGTAGGATTTCTCAGTCCCTGAAATAGGAACAATTTCTTGAGATGGAAAATCATTCATGTGAAAAGTCAACTTTGCCAATGAGAAGTTTATGCTGCAAGTAATTTAATCCTTTTAAGCAGACTGAGCTGAGAAGTAACCAACCCCTTGAGTCAAAAACTAACCATGCTACAAAAATCATGGGACTAGAAACATGTCAGGAATAAAGTACTTCTGGGGGTCTATTTCAACAAACAATGTAGACTGGAATCCAGTCTGCAACAAACAATGTAGACTGAAATCATTTTTTTTCCCAGATGAAAAGGAGATAAAAAAGAAAAGTGGAAAGGCCTAGATATAATTTGGAAGAACTGAACACCCCCCAGCACTCCTCTTAACTGGGGGTGGCCTAGTACCACTGCATCAGAATTCTCGGGAAGCATCCAGAAGCACTGAAAGGGAAAGGAGAGAGAAAAATGACCTTTTGGCCTTGAATTCCTAAAGCTTCAGAGTATGTCGTGGCTTAGGAAAGCACATGAACCTCTCTCTTGTAACAAAACTTGCAGACATGTAATATCAGTCTGAGATTAATCCTGAAACAAACTCTAGGGTTTGTTGAGTCAAAGACATAATAGGAATGACGGAAATAAAATGATCTGGAAATAAGACATTTAAATTGCACAGCACCCACTTCAGTACACTGAAAAAGTGGAGAGAAACAGATCCTTAGTCAGCCTGCAGAAATATTTCTAGCAGCTTTTCAGCCACGTGGGAAGAGGAACAGATGAAGCCTGTGAGAGCCAGAATTCTCATCAAATTCCAAAGGGGTTTCCGGCTTCTCCCCGAGAGTTGAATGAGACTGACTGGCATCAATGTGAGGAGGCCTTTCTATAAAATTTAATCATATAGTTTTAGTTAAACAGAAAACGGTAACTGAAAATTTGCATTATTTGGCTAGTTCACCCCAAAAGAGTTGAAGGAGAGGCAGTAAGAGAACAACAACACTTCACAGGTCCTAACACTGGGTCAGGTAATAGCAAGGATTCCTGTAAGGTCTTGGATGATCTTCCACCCGTTTTTATTTTAAAGAGACTGTTGTACAGCCTCTGCAGCAAGTGTTCTCTCAGAGTGACAATAAATCTTACGCGTTCAGAGAGAGAAGAGGTAAAGAGCACAGGTGTGAAGAAGGCCAACTCCCTTTGTTATAGCTCGCAGTTTGTAAACAATTATTTAGAATGCCAATGACCTAAACTATCCATGAATATCCCAATTTCCCTCAGGTTCACATGCTTAGTCTCAGAAACACTGGCCAGGAGCAGTGGCTCATGCCTGTAATCCCAGCACTTTGGGAGACCAAGGTGAGTGCATCACTTCCTGCCCTCTCGAAGGAAAAGGTGTGTCTGTGGAGTGGCAAGGCCTCCAGCCTCTGCTTGAAGGCGGATGACTTGGGGGCATGGTGTGAACTGAGGGTAATGGTAGAGCAAGACTGCACAGCCTTGCTCTGCACAGGTAACGAGTTTGAGACCAGCCTGGACAACATGGTGAAACCCTGTCTCTTCTATGAATACACAAATTAGCAGGGCGTGATGGTGCATGCCTGCAATTCCAGCTACTTGGGAGGCTGAGGCACGAGAATTGCTTGAACCTGGGAGGCAGAGGTTACAGTGAGCAGCAGTGGCACCACTGCACTCTAGCCTGGGTGACAGAGCAAGACTCTGTCTCAAAAAAAAAAAAAAAAGAATTTAAAAAGTATAAATAAATGTTGAGCCCAAGTAATTTCTATAAATAGATTACAACAAACATCTCAAAGATAAATTTTCTCTATAAAATCAGAATTGGTCAACTAACTACTTACAGAAGGTACATGCCAAGGTGCCATGCTAGGCACTTAGAAAGACAGGGGGAGTTCCTGCCTGCCACCGTGAGGTTCACTATCTAGTGGGGAAGACAAATCAACCAAATGCATATAAGATCATAACTGTGCTCTGAAAGCACACAATGGGAGGTATGATGGGGAAGTCAGGAAGGATGAGGAGGTCAAGAGAGGTAACTGGGCCAGGAGTGGTGGCTCACACCTGTAATCCCAGCACTTTGGGAGGCCCAGGTGGGTGGATCACCTGAGGTCAGGAATTTGAGACCAACCTAGCCAACATCGCAAAACTCCATCTCTACTAAAAATATAACAATTAGTTGGGCATGGTGGCAGGTGCCTGTAATCCCAGCTACTCAGGATGCTGAAGCAGGAGAATTGCTTGAATCCAGCAGGCAGAGGCTGCAGTGAGATCATGCCACTGCACTCCAGCCTAGGTGAGAGAGCAAGACTTTGTCTCAAAAAAAATAATAATAATAAAATAAATATAAGAGTGGTATCTGTGGTTGGAGGCAGGGAGAAGAGCATCTGGACAGATGGAAAAGCATGTAAAGTGGCCCTCTTGCAGGAAGGAACATGTGTGTCTATGGAGTGGAGAGGCCTCCAGCCTCTGCTTGAGGGTAGAGGACCAGGGGGCATGGTGTGAACTGAGGGTAATGGCAGAGCAAGACTGCACGGCCCTTAAGGCCAGATTAAAGATTATACTATGTATCCTAAAAGCAACAGAAAGTTTGAAGCAGACTGATGTAGTGTGGGGAACATACATGGAGGGTGGGGCAGACACAGAATGGATGAACAGAATCAGTTAAGAGGCTCTTACAGAAGTCCAGGCAAGAGATGGAGGTAACCTGATCATAATGGTGGTGGTGGAGATGAAAAGAAATGGTCAGATCTGAGATTTAGTCAAATGGACAGGGTCTGCTGACAGATTTAAGGTGGGAAAATGGAGAAATTTCCTGAGGTTTCCAGCTGGGACAACTGGGTAGATGACAATACCACTTATAGAGAAAGGGACCTGGAAGGGGGCCAGGTTTGGGAAAGGAAGATCATGAGTTCAATATATTAGATATGGCCATGAATTATGAAAATTTCCTACTTTAGCCCCTGAGGGTAAGAAGAAAGGTAGAAAGCAGAAAGAAGTTTTTTTACCTTGATATCAGCTCTGAGCTCAACCAATTGCTGCTCTGACATCTGAACAGCCACATGAGTCATCTTCTTTAGAAGTTCAGCCTTCTTTTGTCGGCTGAGCAAAATTTCCACTGTAGAGGAAAAGTGAGTGTGAACCTTATGTCACTGCTAAATAGGATACAGAACTAGAAATATAAGCCTTGCAGTAGGTATTTGGTCAGCCAAAGGTTTAGTTGCCTATCCATCCAGAAAATGAAAATATTAAAAGTCTGGTCTCCACCTTCCATTGGGTCTCTGAAGGCAGTTAAGTGGTAAACGTTTTTTATAAATCACAAGCACTCATAAATCATTTGTCATTTCTCTTCCTGGTCAAAAAATTTTTTATCAAGATGCATATAAATTTAAAAGGAAATATGCACAGATAATAAAAAAATTCATCTAGAATAATTGGGTATAAAATGAAAAGAGCATCTCTCTTATTTCTGATTTTGTGGTCTCCTCTCCAGAGGAAACCACTGTTCACCATTTCTTATGTACACTTCCAAATATTGTCTATGTATATACAACATGTATACATATATATCTCTCCTTTTTCCCCTTCTCACAAACATTAAGCATATCATACACATGGTCTTCCTTCACCTTAGCTATTTTTACTTAATATATCTTTAAGTTTATTCCCTATTAATACATCTGGATCACCTTCATTCTGTTTAACAGCCAACCAGTATGTGGCTATACCACAATTATCTACCGAGTTCCCTAGTGATGGGTATTTAGATTGTTGCACCCTTTAAGAACCACCTTCTCTGGCATGCTCCCTAATATACAACTTGGATATGGTCATGGCAGAGAACAGACAATAAAAATCTCCCAGAGAGACAACGGCTACAGTGGAAACTGGACCAAAGAAATCCTCCCAGGAAGCAGTTAAACCACCCAGGGAATGTTCTTTACTACCAGAGAAGGGAATCTGCTATTCTTTGCTGTCCAACATGATTTGATCATTGCTTTTCCAGTGGGAATTTTTACTATAAATATCCTCTTCTTTCTCCAACGATGTAATATTGGAAGAGGGGGCATTTAGTCTTTCTTCTAGTTTATGAGACTCCATCCTTGGAAGATCTGAAATTACTGTGAAGACCTGGCCTTTTAGCTGAATATTAACTAACTAGATGAGACTTTGGAGGTATTGCCAGTGAGGAGGCAGTGAACATATTCTCATTTTAGAAAAATGAGGGATACTGGGTAGGGGAGGACTATAG